CACAGCTGACACCGCCCATACCACTACATGAATGACATATTTTATTCATTTTAGAGTATATATCAGGTTTCTATGTTATTTATATTGTTTATTATGTCATATTAGATGAAGTGAGATAGATAAATAAGCCGTAGAGTTGACATTATCGAAATTATTGAAGTACAGAATTCCACTGGAACGAATTAATTGCATTTCAATTAATTTAAATGAGGAAAATTGACTCTGCAAATGAGCAAATCCAGTTGCGAGCAAGGTCATGGAACGGATTAAACTCGCAAGTAGAGGTTCCACTGTATATTATACAGTACAGTACGTATATGGAATAAACACAATTAGACTTTTAAAACACAAAATACATTAAAATTTACAGTTTTTAGGACAATCTTTAATTTTTTTTTAACACGTCAGCTGTCTCCCACCAAGGCAGGGTGACCCAAAAAGAAAGAAAATTTTTTTATCAACATTCAACACTTTCACCATAACATACATAATCACTGTCTCTGCAGAAGTGCCCAGATATGACAGGTTAGATGTCCCTCCAAACTCTCAATATCCCAAACCCCTCCTTTAAAGTGCAGGCATTGTACTTTCCATTTCCAGTACTAAAGTCCAGTTAACCGCTCCAACAGCTTGTAAGGTCCCAAAAACCATTCAACTCCATTCACTCCTATCTAACACGCTCAAGCATGCTTGCTGGAAGTCCAAGCCCTTCGCCCATAAAACCTCCTTTACGCCCTCCTTCCAACCTTTTCTGGGCCAACCCCTACCCTGCCTTCCTTTCCCTACAGATTTATACGCTCTCCAAGTCATTCTACTTTGTTCCATTCTCTCTAAATGACCAAATCATCTCAACAGCCCCTCTTCAGCCCTCTGACTATTACTTTTAGTAACTCTACACCCCCTCTTAATTTCTGCACTACAAATTCTCTGCATAATATTTACATCACACATTGCCCTTAGACACGGCATCTCCAGTGCCTCCAGCCGCATCCTCGCTGCAGCATTTACAACCCTGTTCACACCAATATAAGAGTGTTGGTGCTACTACTCTTGTACATTCCCTTCTTTGCCACCATGAATAACGATTTTTGTCTCCACAGGGGTTGTCCTCGTAAGGGTTGGAGAGAAGGGGTAAAGGAGGTTTTGTGGGCGAGGGGCTTGGACTTCCAGCAAGCGTGCGTGAGTGTGTTAGATAAGAGTGAATGGAGACGAATGGTACTTGTGATGGAAATAAATGGTATAAAATACCGACTCAATGGAAATATAAACACATATGCAGTATAATGTGATCCTTTATTGACTACGTTTCGCCCACACAGTGGACTTTTTCAAGTCACAAACAGATCTACCTGGGGTGGAAGGGACGCGAGTATTTATAGTCAGGTTCAGAATGCTGAGGTCAGGTGGAGAATGCTTCATCTGATGATGTACCAAGTGGGGTTATAGAGTCTAAAATCTTGGGTAGCTTGGAAAGGAGATTGGATAAGTTTGTGAGCAGACCTTCTGCAGTGTTCTTCCATTCCTGTGTTCTTATGTGGGATAGCGATGAAGAAGTTTCTTGGCAAGTGGTTCAGCTATGTTATAGAAGCCACTATTCTGGTTGAAGTTGTCAGATATAGAAATAAGTGATGATTCCAGGATTCTTCGGTATTGAGTGTTGTCTTCTGTGGCGATAAGTCTTGAGTTTCTGTAGTTTATCAAGTGGTTGTGTGAATACGGTGTTGTACACAAGCATTCCTTGTGTCGTCAGACCTGCTTGTGTATTGGTGTTCTGAAATACGTGTTTGGAGGTCCCTTGATGTTTCGCCCATGTATAATTTGTTGCAGTCATTACAAGGGATTATGTATACCCCTGCAGAGGGTGAAGCTTGTCCTGTCTATCACTGGTAATGTCCTTGATGGTCGTGGTTGTGGAGGTAGATACTTGGAATGAGGTATTGGAAAAGATGTTGGAAACGTGTTTGGCAATGGAGTTGGTGGGGAGGACTATGTATCTCTTCTCGGCAGTGTCTTCTCTGGGTGTGTTGAAGATGTTTAATGCCCGTCGTCTGCAGTCTCTGATGAAGTGACGAGGATAGTGGAGTTTAGAAATACTTGTTCAATTATCGTGCATTCTTCTTCAAGAAACTCATTGCTGCAGATTCTGGAGTGCACGCAGGAAGAAGCCTATAATTACACCACGTTTAGTTTTGGTGTCGTGGTGAGAGTAGAAGTGGAGAAGATCGTTTTGGTTGGTGGGTTTTCGATAGACTTTAAAACGAAGTTCGTGGTCAGCTTTGCAGAGCAGAACATCAAGGAAAGGAAGAGTGTTGTCGACTTCTTTCAAGTGTGAACAGGATTGAAGGCTCGACCTGGTGAGCCTTGTCTTGGAGAGCTTGAACGTTGAAGTGTTTAGAGTTTATGAGGAGAATGTCGTCAACATAACGGAGCCAGGTGACAGATGAAGGAATAACGGTGGAGAAACGTTCGGCTTCTAGATGTTCCATGTATAGGTTCACCAGGACCGCACTGAGTGGCGAACCCATGGGTAGTCCAAAAGTCTGCTGATAGAGGTGATTTTTGAAAGAGAAACAAGTAAAGCCAACACATAGTTCAACAAGGTCGATGAAATCGCTGGCTGGAATGGGAAGATCAAGTGAATCGTCAATTTTCCTGCGCAAGAGATCGATGGCTTGTGTAGTAGGTACTTTGGTGAATAGGGAAGTCACGTCAAGGCTGGAAAGTTTCTTGTTCCTGATGTTGATGTTGTGAATGCGATTGAGAAGATCACCCGAGTGTTTGAGATGTGCCAGAATGTACGGCCTGCCAAAAACTCACAAGCCTGGTATCCCACTGAGGCCCATATCCTCGGGAATAGGCAGTGCTCCCCACCAGCTCTCAGGAATTCTCGCAAAACACCTCTCTAAACTCTTGGGCACTATCAGTCCAGCACATCTCAAACACTCGGGTGATCTTCTCAATCGCATTCGCAACATCAACATCAGGAACAAGAAACTTTCCAGCCTTTACGTGACTTCCCTATTCACCAAAGTACCTACTACACAAGCCATCGACCTCTTGCGCAGGAAAATTGACGATTCACTTGATCTTCCCATTCCAGCCAGCGATTTCATCGACCTTGTTGGACTATGTGTTGGCTTTACTTGTTTCTCTTTCGAAAATCACCTCTATCAGCAGACTTTTGGACTACCCATGGGTTCGCCACTCAGTGCGGTCCTGGCGAACCTATACATGGAACATCTAGAAGTCGAACGTTTCTCCACCATTATTCCTTCATCTGTCACCTGGCTCCGTTATGTTGACGACATTCTCCTCATAACTCCTAAACGCTTCAACATTCAAGCTCTCCAAGACAAGCTCAACCAGGTCGAGCCTTCAATCCAGTTCACACTTGAAGAAGAAGTCGACAACACTCTTCCTTTCCTTGATGTTCTGCTCTGCAAAGCTGACCACGAACTTCATTTTAAAGTCTATCGAAAACCCCAACCAAAACGATCTTCTCCACTTCTACTCTCACCACGACACCAAAACTAAACGTGGTGTAATTATAGGCTTCTTCCTGCGTGCACTCAGAATCTGCAGCAATGAGTTTCTTGAAGAAGAATGCACGATAATTGAACAAGTATTTTCTTAAACTCCACTATCCTCGTCACTTCATCAGAGACTGCAGACGACGGGCATTAAACATCTTCAACACACCCAGAGAAGACACTGCCAAGAAGAGATACATAGTCCTCCCCACCAACTCCATTGCCAAACACGTTTCCAACATCTTTTCCAATACCTCATTCCAAGTATCTACCTCCACAACCACGACCATCAAGGACATTACCAGTGATAGACAGGACAAGCTTCCACTCTCTGCAGGGGTTATATAATCCCTTGTAATGACTGCAACAAATTATACGTGGGCGAAACATCAAGGGACCTCCAAACACGTATTTCAGAACACCAATAAGCAAGCAGGTCTGATGACACAAGGAATGCCTGTGTACAACACCGTAATTCACACAACCACTTGGTAAACTACAGAAACTCAAGACTTATCGCCACAGAAGACAACACTCAATACCGAAGAATCCTGGAATCATCACTTATTTCTATATCCGACAACTTAACCAGAATAGTGGCTTCTATAACATAGCTGAACCACTTGCCAAGAAAATTCTTCATCGCTATCCCACATAAGAACACAGGAATGGAAGAACACTGCAGAAGGTCTGCTCACAAACTTATCCAATCTCCTTTCCAAGCTACCCAAGATTTTAGACTCTATAACCCCACTTGGTACATCATCAGATGCAGCATTCTCCACCTGACCTCAGCATTCTGAACCTGACTATAAATACTCACGTCCCTTCCACCCCAGGTAGATCTGTTTGTGACTTGAAAAAGCCCAGTGTGTGGGCGAAACGTAGTCAATAAAGGATCACATTATACTGCATATGTGTTTATATTTCCATGGTACTTAGGACCTGACGATCTGTTGGAGTGTGAGCAGGGTAATATTTAGTGAAGGGATTCAGGGAAACCAGTTATTTTCATATAGTCGGACTTGAGTCCTGGAAACGGGAAGTACAATGCCTGCACTTTAAAGGAGGGGTTTGGGATATTGGCAGTTAGGAGGGATATGTTGTGTATCTTTATATGTATATGCTTCTAAACTGTTGTATTCTAAGCACCTCTGCAAAAACAGTGATAATGTGTAAGTGTGGTGAAAGTGTTGAATGATGACGAAAGCATTTTCTTTTTGGGGATTTTTCTTTCTTTTTTGGGTCACCCTGTCTCGGTGGGAGACGGCCGTCTTATTGAAAAAAAAAAAAAAAAAAAAAAACATATATCCATTAATACCTAAGACAAAATTTGCTTTTTTTTCTTGACCAGAATATCATTTTCATAAAAACTTGATCTAAACAGTATACCATGAAATACGGTAATGCACATGAATTTTTAGCAGAACTGAAAGAAAAACAAAATTAGATTTCTGCTGACAAACTTACCTGACACTTATATATGTCCTCTGCTTTAGGGTGCTTTTTTGCAATATGCCTCCTGAAGTATGCTGAATGACAGCTCTCATATAAGCAGAAATCATGTGGACATTTCAATGGCTTTAAGTGAAGATGAATGAGTTTGTGTCTTCTTAATGCATTGTGATCCCGACCTTGCCAGCCACACAACTCACATTTGTGTGGCTGCTCACCAGTATGCTGCCTGAAAGAGAAACAATTCCAATATTTTTTTAGGTATGACAATTTAAAATTATAGTCAGGTAAACCAAACAACTGCAATATTTTTTCAAATGTATTAAATAAGCCTCCTAATGTAGTAGATAAGTGGGTCTCAACTGTACATTTAATCACTGACATAAGTTACAAAAAATTCATGTACAGGAGGCCTGGTCTCAGACCGGGCCGCGGGGGCGTTGACCCCCGGAACTCTCTCCAGGTAAACAATACATACTATGATAAACATTTCAGGTGTTATTTACACCATTAACCCTTAAACTGTCCCACAGGTAGATTACGTTTTCACTGCCAGCGTTCTGAATATTAAAAAAAAAAAAGCTTTTCATAATTAAAGAGGGCAATTTTCTGTGTAAAGACCCAAAAATTTTTTTTGGGTCAGTACTTGCTGAGAAATAAGGCCACGAAGTTGGTGCTGGATGCTCACCTGATGGCAACATGGAGTCCTGCAGCTTGCAGAAATGTTGCCGATATACCTTTTTTTTCTAGTTATTATTTTAATTTATATAATTTTTATGTTCTGATGATTACAATTTAATAGTAGTTCTTGTGATTTCATAGCCAATCTTTATTCTGACACTAGCATTAGATACTGCAATAGTAATCAAATAGTGACAAACACACTGACAGGTGAACATCTTCACTGGTCTTGGTCACATACTATTTTTTTTTTTTATTATCACACTGGCCGATTCCCACCAAGGCAGGGTGGCCCGAAAAAGAAAAACTTTCACCATCATTCACTCCATCACTGTCTTGCCAGAAGGGTGCTTTACACTACAGTTTTTAAACTGCAACATTAACACCCCTCCTTCAGAGTGCAGGCACTGTACTTCCCATCTCCAGGACTCAAGTCCGGCCTGCCGGTTTCCCTGAATTCCTTCATAAATGTTACTTTGCTCACACTCCAACAGCACGTCAAGTATTAAAAACCATTTGTCTCCATTCACTCCTATCAAACACGCTCACGCATGCCTGCTGGAAGTCCAAGCCCCTCGCACACAAAACCTCCTTTACCCCCTCCCTCCAAACCCTTCCTAGCCGACCCTACCCCGCTTCTTCCACTACAGACTGATACACTCTTGAAGTCATTCTGTTTCGCTCCATTCTCTCTACATGTCCGAACCACCTCAACAACCCTTCCTCAGCCCTCTGGACAACAGTTTTGGTAATCCCGCACCTCCTCCTAACTTCCAAACTACGAATTCTCTGCATTATATTCACACCACACATTGCCCTCAGACATGACATCTCCACATACTATTGTCTACAAATATATACAAAGTACGTATTTATAGGTCTTAGTAATGCTTTACACATGCTGAAGTATATATGAAACTTCTTGAAGCATGGTGTAAGATGAGTGTCACTCCACTGCTGACAGTGCAGCAGTGGAGTGACACTTGATGATCGAGCACTGCTCCGGGAACCGTGGCTTTATTTGCTTTCATTGTTACACATAAACATGTCTATCTGTCTAGCTCTGTCTGACAATCTGTCTGCCTGTGTGTGTCTTTCTGCTTGTCTCTGTCTGACTGTCTCTCTGTCTCAGAGAGCTGCTCATGAACAACAGGTATTACACACGATGCAGAGTCATCATGTCTGATTCCTGATCAAGTAAAATGCAGAAGTTTGTGGCTATAGGAGGGTGGGTGCAGGAGGAAAGAGAAGTGATTGGTTGGAATGATGAAGTAAAGGGTGTGATAAAAGAGAAAAAGATAGCTCATGAGAGGTTTTTACAAAGCAGAAGTGTTGTTAGAAGAGCAGAGTATATGGAGAGTAAAAGAAAGGTGAAGAGAATGGTGAGAGAGTGCAAAAAGAGAGCTGATGAAAGAGTGGGAGAGGCACTGGCAAGAAATTTTGCTGAAAATAAGAAAAAATTCTGGAGTGAGATAAACAAGTTAAGAAACCCTAGAGGATGAATGGATTTGTCAGTTACCCCTTTCAGGGTCCAAACCGTAGATCTACACCATGAGCTCAGCTCACTCTAAGCTGTGAGTGGTAAATTTGGGCCTAGATATGAGAGAATACATCTATGTGGTATGTGTGCACCAAGTCCTGCAACACAGAGTGTATAATGAGAGAAAAAAAACTGAGACTGTGATTTTCGATTAAAACAGCGACTTTGCAGTGTTTTTTGGTATGTTTTTTATAGTTGTATTTGGGATTTCTTAGTCTTATTTGATAGAATGGAAGACATATTACAGAAATAGAGATGATTTTGATTGGTTTTAGCAGTGGAAATGGCTTGAAACTGAGCTCAAAGTAGCAAAAATGTTAAATTTTTGCCGATGTTCAAGAGTAAACAAACGAACTCACACGTCTAATACACGCCAGCAGGTGGGTCTAATATACATTCACAAATGTGGTGATGATATTTATACAATTATTACAATATTGCATAACAGTAAATCTTCTATTTTTTGGTTTGAATAAAAATTCATTATGTGAATAAAAAATCAAAATGGAATTCATTTGTAAAGCCTCTAAACATAACTAATAAACAGAGGAAATGTTAGTTTAGTCCCAGGAATACCTACATTGTTTATTCTGGACCCTATTTTGAAAATGGAATATTTTGAACTTTGTGTTAAATTGGCCAAATTACCAATTTCCGATCACTTTATTTTGTAGTTGAAACAGGTGACTTGGCGACTTCTTGTGCTCAATTGATAGAATAGAAGTAATACTAGTGAAATAGCTAAGAATTTGGTCGACTGGAATGATGTAATTGGCCTAAAATGGGAGACAAAGTCGGCAAAATCGCCAATTCGTAAATATTGCTGACACATTAAAATTCGCACGAGCATAATTTCGTCAATTTTCCATCAAATTTCGTAATTTTTGTTTTATTACTTTCAGAAAAAGATTCTCTACCATTTCATAAGAAAAAATAACAAAATTTCTTTTTGAAAATTCTTGGACCCTGGTGCGCACTTTGAAATTTAGCCTCTGGACCCTGAAAGGGTTAAAAACAGAGTAGGGTAGTTAGTAGGTTAGGAGCTGGAAGTATTGGGTAGATGGCGGGAATATTTTGAGGAACTTTTAAATGTTGATGATGAAGGGAGGCGGTAGTTTCATGCACTGGTCAGGCAGGTGTAACATCTTTTAGGAGTGAAGAAGAGCAGGATGTGAGTGTGGGGGAGGTGCATGAGGCATTACGTAGAATGAAAGGGGGTAAAGCAGCTGGAACTGACAGGATCATGACAGAAATGTTAAAAGCAGGGAGGGATACTGTGTTGGAGTGGTTGGTATTTTTGTTTAACCCTTTCAGGGTCGAGAGGCCCTATTATTTTCATCTAATGAAAAGATAGAGAACCTTTTCCCGATCATAATGACACCAAAAGTATGAAATTTGATGGAAAACTTACGGAATTACGCTCTCATGAAGTTAGCGGACTCGATGATGTTTACGCATCGGCGATTTCGCCCAATTTGAGCCCTATTTTCAGCCAAGTCCAGTGTACAAGTCGACAAAAATCATAACTGTTTTGCTAGAACTCCATTTTTTCTATTGAATGAGTACAAGAAACCACCTATTTACCGATTTCAACTATCCAATAAAGGGGTCAGAAATTAGCAATTTTGCCAATTTCACACAAATTTCAAAAGATGCCAATTTCCAAATAGGGTCCAGAATACACAAGACAGACATTCCTGGCACTAAAATAACATTTCCTCTGTTCATTAGTCATGTCCCCAGACCCCTCTTATGTTTCTTTTGTTTTCCACTTTGAATTTTTATTCTCAAAAAATAGAAGATTTACTGTTATACAGACTACTGCATTAGTGTAGAAATGGTATATATAATATCAGCACACTTGTGAAAGAATATTAGACTCACCAGTTGATGTGTATTGGACACGTGGCATGATTTGTTTACTTTTGAACTTTGGCAAAAGTTGAACATTTCTGCTACTTTGAGCTCAGTTTCAAGGTACAGTACTTTTCATTGTGAAACCAATTAAAATCATCTCAATTTCTGTAATATGTCTTCCATTCTATAAAATGAGACCAGAAAAACTACAATTTTTTTTTTTATTATCACACTGGCCGATTCCCACCAAGGCAGGGTGGCCCGAAAAAGAAAAACTTTCACCATCATTCACTCCATCACTGTCTTGCCAGAAGGGTGCTTTACACTACAGTTTTTAAACTGCAACATTAACACCCCTCCTTCAGAGTGCAGACACTGTACTTCCCATCTCCAGGACTCAAGTCCGGCCTGCCGGTTTCCCTGAACCCCTTCATAAATGTTACTTTGCTCACACTCCAACAGCACGTCAAGTATTAAAAACCATTTGTCTCCATTCACTCCTATCAAACACGCTCACGCATGCCTGCTGGAAGTCCAAGCCCCTCGCACACAAAACCTCCTTTACCCCCTCTCTCCAACCTTTCCTAGGCCGACCCCTACCCCGCCTTCCTTCCACTACAGACTGATACACTCTTGATGTCATTCTGTTTCGCTCCATTCTCTCCACATGTCCGAACCACCTCACAACCCTTCCTCAGCCCTCTGGACAACAGTTTTGGTAATCCCGCACCTCCTCCTAACTTCCAAACTACGAATTCTCTGCATTATATTCACACCACACATTGCTCTCAGACATGACATCTCCACTGCCTCCAGCCTTCTCCTCGCTGCAACATTCATCACCCATGCTTCACACCCATATAAGAGCGTTGGTAAAACTATACTCTCATACATTCCCCTCTTTGCCTCCAAGGACAAAGTTCTTTGTCTCCACAGACTCCTAAGTGCACCACTCACTCTTTTCCCCTCATCAATTCTATGATTCACCTCATCTTTCATAGACCCATCCGCTGACATGTCCACTCCCAAATATCTGAATACATTCACCTCCTCCATACTCTCTCCCTCCAATCTGATATCCAATCTTTAATCACCTAATCTTTTTGTTATCCTCAAACCTTACTCTTCCTGTATTCACCTTAATTTTCTTCTTTTGCACACCCTACCAATTCATCCACCAATCTCTGCAACTTCTCTTCAGAATCTCCCAAGAGCACAGTGTCATCAGCAAAGAGCAGCTGTGACAACTCCCACTTTGTGTGTGATTCTTTATCTTTTAACTCCATGCCTCTTGCCAAGACCCTCGCATTTACTTCTCTTACAACCCCATCTATAAATATATTAAACAACCACGGTGACACACACATCCTTGTCTAAGGCCTACTTTTACTGGGAAATAATTTCCCTCTTTCCTACATACTCTAACTTGAGCCTCACTATCCTCATAAAAACTCTTCACTGCTTTCAGTAACCTACCTCCTACACCATACACTTGCAACATCTGCCACATTGCCCCCCTATCCACTCTGTCATACGCCTTTTCCAAATCCATAAATGCCACAAAGACCTCTTTAGCCTTATCTAAATACTGTTACTTATATGTTTCACTGTAAACACCTGGTCCACACCCCCTACCTTTCCTAAAGCCTCCTTGTTCATCTGCTATCCTATTCTCCGTCTTACTCTTAATTCTTTCAATAATAACTCTACCATACACTTTACCAGGTATACTCAGCAGACTTATCCCCCTATAATTTTTGCACTCTCTTTTATCCCCTTTGCCTTTATACAAAGGAACTATGCATGCTCTCTGCCAATCCTAGGTACCTTACCCTCTTCCATACATTTATTAAATAATTGCACCAACCACTCCAAAACTATATCCCCACCTGCTTTTTAACATTTCTATCTTATCCCATCAATCCCGGCTGCCTTACCCCCTTTCATTTTACCTACTGCCTCACGAACTTCCCCCACACTCACAACTGGCTCTTCCTCACTCCTACAAGATGTTATTCCTCCTTGTCCTATACACGAAATCACAGCTTCCCTATCTTCATCAACATTTAACAATTCCTCAAAATATTCCCTCCATCTTCCCAATACCTCTAACTCTCCATTTAATAACTCTCCTCTCCTATTTTTAACTGACAAATCCATTTGTTCTCTAGGCTTTCTTAACTTGTTAATCTCACTCCAAAACTTTTTCTTATTTTCAACAAAAAACTACAATACAACCATAAATACCATACGAAAATACACTGCAAAGTCGTTGTTTTAAACCAAAAACACGGTCAAAGATTTTTTTTCTCATTACGCACTGTGTGCTGCAGGATTTTTTTATACTGTGCACACTGACCACATAGACCCATTCTTTCATATGTAGGCCTACCAGCTTTCTCTCACTAGCTTTGAAGGCACTAGAATTTACACGTACTAGTACATTGGAAACCCTGAAAGGGTTAATAAATAAGTTTAATAATAAGTGGTTAAGTGAGAGTGAGGTGAAAGTGTTGAATGATGATGAAAGTATTTTCTTTTTGGGGATTTTCTTTCTTTTTGGGTCACCCTGCCTTGGTGGGAGACAGCCGACTTGTTAAAAAAAAAAAATGTATGAAAGAGGGAAAGGTACCTAGGGATTGGCAGAGAGCGTGTATAGTTCCCTTTTATAATGGGAAGGGGGACAAAAGAGACTGTAAAAATTATACGGGAATATTACTGAGAATCCCAGGTAAAGTGCATGTTAGGGTTATTATTGAAAATTAGAGGTAAGACAGAGAGTAGGATTGCAGATGAGCAAGGAGGCTTTACAGTGGGTAAGGGATGTGTAGATCAAGTGTTTACATTGAAGCATATATGTGAGCAGTATTTAGATAAAGGTAGGGAAGTTTTCACTGCATTTATGGATTTAGAAAAGGCAAATGACAGTGTGAATAGGGGAACAATGTGGCAGATGTTGCAAGTGTATGGAATAGGTAGTAAGTTACTAAATGCTGTAAAGAGTTTTTATGAGGATAGTGAGGCTCAGGTTAGGGTGTGTAGGAGAGAGGGAGATTACTTCCTAGTAAAAGTAGGTCTTTGACAGGGATGTGTGATGTCACCATGGTTAATATATTTATAGATGGGGTTGTAAAAGAAGTAAATACTAGGTTTTGGGGTGAGGGGTGGGATTAAATTATGGGGAATCAAGTACAAAATGGGAGTTGACACAGCTACTTTTTGCTGATGATACTGTGCTTATGGGAGATTCTAAAGAAAAGTTGCAAAGGTTAGTAGACAAGTTTGGGAGGATGTGTAAAGGTAGAAAGTTGAAAGTGAATATAGATAAGAGTAAGGTGATGAGGGTATCAAATGATTTAGATAAAGAAAAATTGGATATCACATTGGAGAGAGGGAGTATGGAAGAAGTGAATGTTTTCAGATATTTGGGAGTTGACATGTTAATGAAGGATGAGATTAACCATAGAACTGATGAAGGAAAAAAGGTGAGTGGTGCGTTGAGGTATATGTGGAGAAAAAAAAACGTTATCTATGGAGGCAAAAAAGGGAATGTATGAAAGTATAGTGGTACTAACACTCTTATATGGGTCTGAAGATTGGGATGTAAATGTTGCAGTGAGAAGACGGCTGGAGGCAGTGAATGTGGAGAAATTTTCTCCAGGAGGGGGGTATCAGCCCCCTTCAGCCCCTTTCAGCCCTGAGGGGCCCAGACCTCTCAGAAGGGGCAAGCGTCTTGTTTACTGCTACAATGAGTAATTGATCACAGATGCCGTACGAGTGTGCAACCTGTGGTCAACCGACCATTGCTCCTTGCAGTCCAGTGTTTTCAG